CGCCGGCGGCGGCGGCGGCTGGCCGCGGTCCCAGACGTTGGAACTCAGGCACCAAGCTGGGTCACCGCGCCCCTGCGGGCTCCTGGAAAGCCTGAGACCTCCAGGGATCGCGGCCGTGCCTTGGTGGGGCAGCTTTTTGGTGTTTTTTTTTTAACCTTTTATTTATTTATTTATTTTTGAAAACTGTTGAACAACAACTATGACTTTCAGAATGTTCCGTAGGTCTGGGATGCTTGAATACGGATTACTCTGTGCTTTGGGAAGAAGCTCTTTAAAGAGCAAGACTGTTTTTTTTTTTAAGTTTGGCATAGCTATTTTTTTTTGCATTTAATTTTTTATTGTTATTACCAAGCTGATGCACAGAGGGGCGACAGTTACATAAGTCAGGTAAAAAGTACATTTCTTTTTGGACACAGTCAACCCTTTCCCTGGCTCTCTCCCAGTTTTTCCCTCCCATCGGCACCCACAAGTTGTGTAGTTCATTTTCAACATAATGTCTAGTGAGTACCACTGCTGCATTTAGAACATTATTATTATTTTTGAAATGTGGATTTGGGGTCATAGGCTTAGTGTGATTTTTGTGGTAAGGACAATTCTCTACCAACCACTTTTTTTGGGGGGGGGGTCCTCAGAACCTCACCCCCTCTGCTGCTACCTGTGCTATCTTATTTCAAGAAAATTTTTATTTTATTTTATTTTTTGGGTCCAGTCGTGGGGCCTGAACTCTGGGCCTGGGCGCTGTCCCTCAGCTCTTCAGCTCAAGGCTAGTGCTCTACCACTTGAGCCACAGCACCACTTCCAGCTTTTTTTTGCTTATGTGGTGCTGAGGAATCGAACCCAGGGCCTCAGGCATGCAAGGCAAGCACTCTACCACTGAGCCACCTTCCCAGCCCCTTTCAAGAAAAATTGTAAGTGTGACACTGGAACTCAAGTGAGGGCTGAATCATTGGCTTGGGTCTCCATCAAGCCTCTGTTGAGCAAAACAGAGTAGTGTAGCTGGGGTAGCATGGAGTCCAGCTTCTCAGTGGAGGAGCATAGAAGCACCCAGAGTCTCCTCATTTTCACTAACATCCCCATATGGTTTTTGAGACATATGATGGACAGTTCCTCGGTCGCTCAGAGATGCTCCTCAAACAACTCCAAAGGCTTACCCCAAGAATCTTGGCCCTCTAAACCCTTTCTTTGCAGGCACTAAAATTGTTTCCATTTTAAGACTGAACATTAAATACAACAGTGTGCATTGCTCTGCATGTCCCATCTAGATTTTTTTTTTCTTGGCATGATCTTTAGGTTTTTAGGATGGCTAGTTGAAAGCCAGCTGTTCACAGCCACGCAGCAATGTATGAACTTATCCTCACCTGTTTCCCTAGGGTTATTATTGCAAATTGTTTTTGAAAATTCCTTGTTTAAAAAAATGGGAGATGGGGGCTGGGAAGATGGCTCAGTGGTAGAGCACGTGCTTTGCATGCCTGAGGCCCTGGGTTCGATTCCTCAGCACCACATAAGCAAAAAGAAAAAAGCCGGAAGTGGCGCTGTGGCTAAAGTGGTAGAGCACTAGCCTTGAGCTGAAGAGCTGAGGGACAGCGCCCAGGCCCAGAGTTCAGGCCCCACAACGGACCCAAAAAAAAAAAATGGGAGATGGGAATCAAACACTCTAGAAAACAAAGTACTGCGTTTGGCCCCTTTTTAGCATATTCTAGAAAGGTGGTGCCTTTTTTCAAAGACTGTGCTGATGTGACAATTGTTTAAAAAGCAATGAAGTCTCCAGCTTTCTCTTTCCCACCTCTCTTCCCCAGCTCTTTCCCAGCTCTCCTTCCCAGGTCTTTCCCAGCCGTGTGGACTGCCAACCTTGTCTGGTCCCAGCAGGTCTACTGAATAAACCTATCCCTTACCTGAAAAAAAAAAAATGAAGTCTTTAGATCAGAGTTTTCCTAAATAGTCTTACCTTTGTCCCACAGTGATTGATGCAGTTGACATGGCCCAGTTCACAATGCCTGTCAAACCCGAATCAAGATGCATTGTTTCCTATATTCATTTGCTGGTTATGTTCTACTAATGGTATTCTATGGCCTATTATCTGTTAGAGTTCCAGAAGCAACCTCTAGACTCCCGAGCAAGCAGTTTGCTGGTAAGGTCATGTCAGGATATGCTGTTTGGGGACAGGACAGGGAGGAGGCAAGCAGGAAGGGAAAAATCAAAATCTTCCTGGAAGATTTTGTTTGTTCATTTTTGTTGTTGTTGTTGTTACTTTTTTTGCCAGTCCTGAGGCCTGGGTACTGTCCCTGAGCTTCTCTGTGCTCAAAGTTAGCATTTGAGCCACAACGCCACTTCCGGCTTTTTGTTTATGTGGTGCTAAGGAATCGAACCCAGGGCCTCATGCATGTAAGCAAGCACTCTACCACTAAGCCACAACTTTTTGTGTCACTTCCTATCTTTGTCTCTGCCTCTGTCCCTTTCATTTTTTTTTCTCTCTCTCCTTGGTTTTTGAGATCCCCATCTTACTGTACAGTTAGATAACCCAAGCTGGCCCTATATTCTTTTATCCTTCCCCATCAGCTTACTGAGTGGCCGGATGCATTCAGGCAAGCGCCATCATGCCTAGTTCTCCATTATGGGTCTCTATTAGTTTGCCGAGGCTGCTAAGTCCCTAGGTCTTAACAGAAATGGATGTTCTCATTGTCTGGGAGCCTGAGGTGAAGATGTTATCAGTGTTAGTTCCCTTGGAGGGCCCTAAGGGAAAGCTGTGTTCCAGGCCTAGCTCCTTGGCTTGTAATTGGCCACCCTCATGGAGCCTAATTACACGGGCAGGTCTTTGTGCATGTACAGGCTACTAACACTAACTCAAGAAGAAACAGAAGGGCTGGAGGTATGGGTCGAGTGGCAAAGTACCACCTTTGAGCAGTCAAGCTGAGTGTGAACTCCAGGGACTTGCATTCAGCCCAGGTATAAGCACAACAAACAAAAAAGAACTATGAAATAGAAAGTAAAAACAGACCTGCTTGGGGCTGAATAGTGTTTCTTACTTCCTTAAGGTCATCGATTGAAGCCTAGTCCCTAGTACATCAAAATATGGCTGTATTTGCAGACAGAGGCTTTTAAGGACATAATGAAGTTAGAATGAGATGGTTGGGGTGGGGCCCTAATTCAATGGGACTGGTGTCTAGTTGAAGACTATTTCTGATGTTTAAGTTTATGGTATGTTTTTTTATAGCAGTACTCACTAACTAGTACATCCACCTTGTAACCAGCTAGTTGAGTGACTTTAAGATCAGGACTGTTTTTATTTCCTTCCTTCTCTCTGGTCTTTCTTTTGTCTCCTCCTGAGGCTAGGACCGAGGAGATCTGGGTAGGGGAGGAAGTGCTGCTTCTCTGTGAATCTATTTCCAATCCTTTCATTATTGTTTTCTGTTTCTTGTCTGGTAATTTGACTAATCATGGATAATTAGCACGAGGCAGGTCTCCAACAGACCTCTCTCATTGGGCCCAGGTGTTGGTTTCTTGAAGGAGCTGTTGCGTCGTCACTGGCTCATGAGAAAAAAGAGGAAAGCAGCCCTTGCTCTCCAGGAATGAAGCCAACCTCACAGCCCAACCACAGTGTTATTACAAATTGACCTGACATTAACAGTGAGGCCCCAGTGTTATTGCAAACCCAGACGATGCTTACAGCTGAGCCGTTCTGTTCTATTGGACATAAACGGTCTCACAGAACATCTTCGGTAGATGAGGCCACAGTGCCACCCAAAAAATACCAAGCACCTGCCTACCTCATTACACAAGTCTGCTTCTTTCCTACTACAGCTTCCTTTTATCCCATGTTGCCTTCCCTGCAGGTAAGATGAACTAGGAAACTCTCAATGGACCCTTGAAACCATGGGTGGTACCACACCTTGTATATAAAGTGCTTTTTCCTTTGGGCTTGGATGTAGTTCAGTGGCAAAACACTTGCCTAACAAGTGCAACGTCCTGGGTTCGATCCCAGTACCAAAAAAGAAAAGACAAAAAATACAGTTAAAAAAACACAAACAAAAAGTGCTTTTTCTTATACCTATCTGGGATGAATTTCAACTTCTAAATCAGGTACAGTAAGAGTTGAACAACAACTATTAATAAAGATAGAACAGTTATCACAATACACCGTCACAAAAGTGATTTAAGTCTTATGAATTTTTTTTCTGGAATTCTCCATTTAATATTGTCACATATTACTTGACCGTGGGAAACTTGAAATGTGGAAAGCAAAGTAGTTGACAGGGAGCTATACTCAACCGTTTATTTTTATTGTTTGGTGGCCCTGGGATTGAACTCAGGACCTTGAGCTTGCTACGCAAATGTGGCAGTTTCTGAGACAGGCCCCTAGTTCCTTGGCTTTCTGACAGAATTCAGTTTATAGCAACTTTCTGTTTCCTTGCACCTTCTCCTGATTTACTCAGCTGAAGTCTATGTCCCAATA